CCTACGAGTGAGTTCCAATTCCCTACTAATCTACTTTCCGAGAGGTGGCGCCCTAATTTCTTTCATCTCTCACTAGTGCCCTAGAGCCTGGTGGTTGGATCGAACAAATTGAATTGGACGTGCGAGTCTACAGCGATGACGGCACCTTGACGAAAGAACACCAGCTATATGGTTGGGGCGACATTTTTATCGGATGCTCCGAACGAGCGGGACGGTCACTCAGAACCCACGAAACAATGCGTAGCGCAATCGAGGAAGCCGGGTTCGTGGACGTGCATGAGGAAAAGTACAAGATTCCTCTAGGATGTTGGGCCAGGGATAATATACTGAAGGAGGCCGGACACCTCCAGCATAGCCATTGGAACGCCGCTTTAGAAGGCTGGGCGATGTGGCTTCTCACTCACTTTGGAGAGCCGGAGCCGTGGTCAAAGGAGGAGGTGCAGGTGTTTCTGGTTAAAGTGCGCAAGGAACTGAACAACCCGCGTATTCACGCTTATGAACCTGCGTAGGTTTTCTTTCGGATCGCATCACTGGATCTTTTCATGCTGATACATTTTAGGAATCGCGTGTGGGCAAGAAAGCCTCTCAAGGAGGAATTGAAGGTGGAGGAAGTAAAGATCAAGGTTGAGAAATCGGCATAAAGCTGTGTATGACTTCTTGGAAATAGTCATTTTGTGGTTCACGCATTCTTTTCTATGTTTATATGCTCTTTTCAATGCTGTTTGTTATCATTCTATATTCACATCTATTTTGCAGGCTCAAATATTGAAGAAACGTCTCTCATTGGTCACTTCCCGGCAGACTGCCTAGTTAGTTCCAGGCAAGCTTATTGGTTACACAATAAGGGCTCAGTTTTATCAGTGATCAAAAAGCGGCAAATGAGAATTAACGCAGAAAGAGGAAGTTATAGAGATTAAATATGAACAAAGATCACAGGGAGCTTGTGGGTATTTTCCAGTCATGTGCAGAGAATCACAAGTCATTACCAGAGTAGTGGTACATCAATCAAAAATAAACTGACAGAGCATGAATCGGCCAAGAACGCCAGGGAGGTGTATGTTAAACAATAAAATGGAGGGAAAATGCAGACACGTATGCAGTCAACCGTTGAACATCACAACCTAATGAAGGGACAAGAAGGATGAAAAGGAGAAGGAAAAAAATATACAAGGAACAAAGGTATTCATTAAGTGTTTGTTCAAGGTCGGTCAGAGATAGACACGAAGCAAAGTTGCACAGTAGTCAACAAAAAATGTACCCAATGCTGTGCAATAAGCATGGCAAGAAAGAAAATAATAAGGACAAAACGCTGATATATAGATCAAACCAGCAAAACATTTAAATTGTCACAAGGACAACAAGAGCCACCAGGACGCCGAAGAGCGAGCCACGGAGGACACGCTCATTTTGGCTGGCTGCACCGCTGTCTTGGGTAGCGGTTCCCTGGGTGAAACCCGAAGTGGAAGTCCCCGAGCTATCCGTGGTGGAAGTACCAGAGCTGGAGCTGGAGCTGGAGCTGGAGTTAGATTCACCAGAGCTGGTGATGTTGCTGGTCATGCCACCGGAGCCACCGTTGCTGGTGGGGATGCTATTGGACGCAGAGGAGGATGCAGAAGATTTGTCAGCACCAAGATCCATGTCGAGACCGGTGGCGCCCAGCGAGGCAAGGACGGTGGAGTTGTCGGTGATGGAGACATCGCTCTCCATAGCAGAAGATTTGGTGTAGATATAGGCGTTGTCGCCGGTCTTGGTGACGTCGGAAGGAGCATCGTAGCACTGAACGCTGACCTCGCCGACCATGGCATAGTCGTAGCCGACGGTCTGGATGTCCTCGCTGTTCCAGTCGATATCACCGCCGGCCCAGTTAATGGTGCCCTGGGCGTTGCTGGCCTGGCCGGCGGGCCAGAGAGACATTTGAAGGCGAGAGGGTGTCTGGGGGAACTCGTACTGCTTGGAGGTCTCGTTGTAGGTGTCGGCCTTGTTCAAAGTGCGGCGCACGGAGCCGTCGACGACCCAGTCGACCTTCTCAGGGGTCCAATCGATCTCGTAAGTGTGCCAGTCATTGAAGGTGTCCTCGCCATCCACGCTGATGTTGCCGGCGTTCTCCCCTGGTTTATCAAGTCAGTATTTATTATTAGAATCAGATATTTCTTGTTGCTTTTGACTTACAGTCCAGAACACCCTGCCAGTAGTAGTTGGTCTGCACGGCGGTCAAATCAGCACCGACCCACTCGTAGTCGATTTCGTCCTTGACATCGGACAGAAGAATAAAAGCAGTCACGACACCCTTGCCGCGGGAGCTCTTAATCTTTCCGGAAACCTTGCCGTACCAGATGTAGTGGTTGTTGGCGAAGAGAGTACCGACACTGTTGGCAGGCATGGTCATGATCAGATTGCCATCCTCGGTTTTCACCTTTCCGCTGTAGGTCCAGTCGGCAGTGCTGGCGTTACCGAGGTACTTGTCCTGGGTGACGGAATTGTTGAGGTTGTCCCAGTTGTAAGTCTTATCCTCGCAGACGGGCATAGGAGCGCATGAATCGAGAGAGAACGATGCGAGAGGGTCGCAGCCGCCCAGGCAGTAGGCACCAGTACCGCACTCACCATATTCTAGATTTGAATGACTCGTCAGCTATCAATTGCGATCTACAGGGTAGTATCACTCACGGGAGCAGCAGGGGTATTTCTCGTCGCACTGGCTGCTGGAGCTGCAGGATTGCGCGGCGAAGGCGGTCACTGACAGCGAGGCCAGGACCAAAGGTGTCACGAAGCGAACCATTATATATGTACTGTTGGTATGTACAGTGGAAATGACAGAATATCGAATGATTTGAATCCAAGCCACAGGAAACGAGGGAAAATGTGGGGAAACAAAAAAAGGGGGCGATAGTATAAGTTAGATGCTGATATAAATAAATGAGAGGCAGCAAGTGAAGATATATTCACTGCAAAAGCGATGATGATTCAGAACGAAAGCAGTTCAATGTTGTCTGATCGAAAGAGAATGAAAACGGAGGGGAGGAGGCGATAGTTATTAATACCATGCATGATAGTTATCCCTCCCTCCGTGGACTGAAAACATGAAAACATGAATTGACAGGCGCTAACCCAATCAGGATGGACGCCGTCGACCTTGGAAGGTAGGGTCCACGGGTCGAAGTCAAAGGGTCAATTATCTAAAGCCTGGACTGATTCTGATTGGCTGGTATTTGCTCGTCTATTTTTTATTCTTTATTTTTCCCTTTTATTTGTGGAGAGGTTCGGGGGGTTCCGTCTGTGCGTGGTATTGCATGGTATTGTATAGTAATTCTGGTATTTTAAGTTCGTGATGAACAGCTGATCCTGCGCAGGTGATCATGGTATGACAAAGGAAAAAAGGTACGCTAATTTGACCAAATTAGCCAATCTTAGCTTTTAGCCAAATAAATCTTATCTGACCAATGATGGCCAGCAGCCCATGCGTGACCGTTGAGAAGTGAGACACCCCAGGTGTTTGTCGTCGGAAATTGCTGTACGGAGTACAATAGATACAGTACTAGTGCGAGCATTGGTACTTTCCACTTTCCCTTTTCCTTTCTCCGCTGATAAACCAGTTCAGACAATGTCGACCCCATATATACTTCGTACAACATACTCCATACTCCGTGTATCGACAATGTTATACTGAATATGATGTACCATGCGGAGTGCGGAGTACATTTTCTTGCTTTGTACGTATACTGTACGATGTACACTTTGATACCCCTTGGGTCGGACATCCGATGTCCGTTCTCGGGGCGTCTTGACTTGAACCAATGAGGCCGGCCGAAGGTAAATGTGGCCATTAGGACAAAGAAGAGGAATCAGTACTAAAATTCGATAATTTCCTCCGTCCTCCATGCGTGACCCTCGCATTAGGCTGCCACAAGCTACCAAGAGCTCGCTACACTCATTATTCTCTCTCGGCGGACTCGGCACCAAGCACCTGTATTCCGCACTAGGAAGCTCACTTTTGCCCCCAAGACTTGACTAGCGACTCCTGCCTATTAGGACCGTGATCCAATATGGTCTAACCTTATCTGTCTCAGTTGTCAGTCAGTCGCTAGGCACCGGCGGATACACCAAGCACTGGGCAGGGACGCGGATCGCTAGTGTCGGGCACGGGCGTGCATTATGAGAGATCGTTCTCGTTCTCGGCTGGGTGCGGCGATAATAATAGGGGGGGGACCGATAACGGTCAAGATAAGCATAACCCTCATCCGGGTACCTCACCGCTGGCCAGCAACTGATTGTTTTCAGGTATCCTTCTAGAAGGAATGTTTCGATCTACATACATATGTTTTGGCAATCTCTGATCTACATACATGAGTAACTACACATGCGTCATTAGATCTACTACAATAAACCAAGGGGTGTGGAATGTAAACGGGTTTGATTATTGGTTGCTTTTGCTGTAGTCAAACTGGTTTTTATCAGACTGCATTATATGATGGTATTGTATGACAGCATTGTTTGAGAAAGAGCAGACCAGGTCTGATTCAAAATACACATGACACGTTTTCTCCAATGTTCAACATCTGCGTTGTGTGTTCATTTGCCTCTTCTAGCTTAGTGCTCCTATGCCTACTCCACAATACTTGTCATATAGATTTAAGATTCTGGTATAGTTCTATTGTTTTGAGACATAAAAACATAAACAGACCTGTCTATTAGAAAGTTTACATGTGCTAGGTCAAGAAAAACAAAAGGAAAACAAGTTTTCCACTGCTGTGAGAAACCCTAGATCTGTTGATCGCCGTCAGATCAACACACTTTCAGCTGACCCTTGATTCGTTGAGACCAATTTGCATATAAATCCCCAAAAGTCTGACTAGAGGTAGATCGAGCCGGTGCCATTTATATGCCTGTACCGTGCTCGGCTGGCTGGCGGCTGTAATTGCTATTACCGGGCTCACTTCACATCTTACGCTAACTTTCTCAACTAAAAGCTTGTGCAAAACAACGAGATCCTGCTGGCAGTTGAGTTATGCCAAATAGAAGGCAGTCTTGCACTTCTCCTTGAGAACAGATGTTTCACCAATTCCGCCTGCCCTGGACTTCAAGAGGAGGATCTTCCCCGCCTTGTGAGTACAAAGTACTATATGTCAAATGGAATTCGTCCAATTGCCACCAAATATCGTGGCCAACATGGAAACAGCATAGAAAGCCGATCTAGAATCAAAGGGAAAGGAGCGCTTACCAGAGTGCCCCACTGCTGTAGGCCGTGATGAGCCGGCTGCCGGGGTCTCGGTCCGGGTGGATTGTGATGATAGATCTCTCCACCAGACCATTGCTAGTGTGGCACATGCCGCTTCAGCGGGTTTGGACAACCCCGTCAGTAGCTACTCTTCTCCGTCGGTGGTTGAAGAAGGTGGTATCCTAACCCGTCACACACCACAATTGCCAGGTTCGCCCATGTCCGGCTCCCTCGAGGGTGGGTCACCTCATATCCTTTTCAAATCTCTGCCTTTTGTATTCTTTCGGCTATTCCTATCTGTTTAGGCTCGAATGGTACCGCATCTTGATCAGCCGACTGATGGACCATAAAGAGAGGCACTTTACATAAGATCACCAAGTAAATACCGTGGAAATGATATGAACGACCAGCGAGAAGATCGTAAGACGGCCACCCGAAACAGCATAACACGGACACAAGGAAAAGAAATCTAGACCTTGTGAAATACATAGAAGCCGAAGACAGAGTATAGGCAGTATGCTGAGTGCACTATATATCAAAGCAGCCACCATTGTAAGTAAGGTGATGTCTGCAATTTTTCGTTTTGCAAGCCAGCGTAGGGATCGATGGCGATACCTTCATACGTGGTTTTCGGTCAGCGAGTTCAGATTTCTCAAAGTCAATCTGAAATGGAGTAGATAGGAAGAGCGAGAGGACTGGTGAAAAGGTATAGCAGAGCATAATACAATGCTCATTGGGCTCTTTGTCTTCGTCTCAATGAATGTTCATACACGATCTCAAACGGGTTGAGGCAAGGCCCGATAAAGGTTCCAAGAAAACGAAGGGGTGACAAAGGGGGCAGAAAAGACTCCACAAAGTCATTTTAAGGCTATAAGTCGAAGTTTACCTTTACAACTTTTAAGGGTAGAGACATATGGATTGTGTAGGTGTACATTGTTGTATATGAACTGGGCTTGGCTCTATAGCATGAGTTACAAGACCTTCGGCTTTATAGTCAAATGAATTTCTACAAACCAGAAATAGATAGCATCAAGGACCTTAAAAATACAGCAAGAAATGTCGATCAAATCAAATAGATGTGCATCGTTACATCGTAAGAAAGGATACAAGATAGCCCCAGAACACTGAATATTAAGGAAAACAGACAAACACCATGTAACTCGTAGATACTTTCAATCTCTGAACTCCGGCCATGCTTGACCTGCCCACGGGCTAGACCGAAACCCCCACCAAAATGTAAAAACAAGAACCTGCAGCCCGACGCGAGAAGAATGAATCCGAATGTGAAAAGATTGTCCTGGTAAATTCAAACGCCGAGATCAGTTAGGGATGGCAAAGCGGAAACTAGAGAACAATAAGCCTAGAAATTAATAATAAGAAGATTAGAGAGGCGTACATCATCTATCAATAAATGTATCATGCAACTTGGAGGATGGAGGATGGACGGGCGTCGCGCCAGGCGTCGTTGTAGAGGGGGAAAAAGGTAACGGTAGAGAAACCAGCGTAGGAGTGTGCAATGAAGAGGTTAAGCTTTGTATGTGTTGCTTCCTAATCGAGGAAGCTTCTTGTTCGGGGCGACGGTTTTGAATTCGACTCTCGGTTGATAGTGAACAGCACCACCGTCCTCAAGCCATGGTGCAAGATTCTTGCATTGACTGACATCGAAAACCCGGAGTTGGTGGCAGCCCTCCGCAACAGCCTCCACACCCACTCCAGTGACTCGAACACAGCCACGGACCGATAAATGTTGAAGAGAAAGTAGGTGGAGACCAATGCTCCTTAAGGAGGGATCGGAAATTGCAGAGCCGCAGAACGCCATGTTGAGATACTTCAAATGTGAGCACTGCAAGGCAAGGACCTCAGTTGCCGTATCTGACAATGCGCAGCAAAAAGTCTGGTGGCGATTAGTAAACCATGATATTTCTAGTTCGACAGAGCCCGACAAAGGATAGCTTACCAGATCTAATTCCTCCAAGTTTTTGGCCGCATTAGTTAGATGCACGATGGCGTTGTCCGTCAAATACGTGCAATCTGCTAAGCAAAGCTTCCGCAGGTTAGTGAACTGAGCATTCCCCCAGTATTTGAACCCTTGATCTGTGATTGTGGTGCAGCGAGTCAAATCCATTTCCTCAATCCGACCAGCGGCGTGAGACGCAATGTGATGCATAGATCGATCGGTGACATGTTTGCAGTAAGAAAGAGTAAGTTTCTTTAACTTTGGACAGCCGTACACTGTAAATTCTGCTGTCTGTATTGTAGGTTTGATCGATGACTGCTTCTCGCCCATCGTCTGGTCGGCGGGCACTACCCATCCAATGATCCGGGCGAGAAGTGTATCGCCGACCTTGCGGCAATTGCTCAAATCTATCTCCTGTATATTTGTAGCTTTGCTGGACATGTCAAGAATGGCAGAGGCCGTTACATCCCACACACTCTTCATCTTCCACGCGGTGATATTTGGGGCACAAGTCGCGGCCAACACCGTGAAGCCTTCGTCGGTAATATGAAAGCAGTTGTTGATATTGACCGATCGGGCTCGATTGCCAACAAACGGACAGATGATTTTAACAAGAACGTCATCTGTAATCCTACGGTTGTAGACGCTCAAATCCAGATCATGAATCACGTCCGCAGATCTGGTCAAGAGCTCTGACCAATGGGACGACACCGCCCTAATCCGAAGAAGCTGGTGAAGCTCAAGGAATTGGAAAATGTTCAGCAATACACTGTCTGGGAGTAATCCATTGGTACCATCGACCCGGGGCCGTTCGGTATGATATGACTTGGAAAGGCTAGCAGTTTCAGGAAGGGCGAGGGTTGAAGAACTGGCAGAGCACGGCTCTGTAGGAGATGAGCGCTGCTGCTCCCTTGATACCTCCTCGGGGGCTAGAGGTGCCAGCGAGCCACGTCGACTTCGCATCCGGACTTTATCTAGACCCATGCTGAAGTATGGATCGGGATCTGAGGGCCGCAGCACGTCCTGGTCTTGGTCTTCAGCATTTGAGGATTGATGTGGTCCATCCAGCTCGGTTTCAGTGAGGGTAAGCAGTGGCATTGACCGCCGCCGCGATGATGTGATCTTTACCCTGTCGTCGAGGGCGAGATCACCAAGAGACGGCTGTGAGTCCGCCTCGTCAGACATAATAACATCGCCATCGGCTGCCGCCTGGAGCCTTGCCTGGGCAGTGCGTTGGACTTGTTCCCGCACGTCACTAGGGCATTTCTCCCAAAATTTAGCCAGGACGTCACCGCCGAGCATCAAACACTCAACTGAAGTCACAGATCGAACGGTGGCGGTTCGCCGAGGTGCCAAATCTAGGCTGACCACCTCGCCAAAGTACTGCCCTTGCTTCAGTCTAGCTTTGACCTCAATTCCCGGCTGTTCAATGTGCCCATTTGGGCTGTTTTTGTTTGCCGACGAGTGGTCCATCTCCGCCTTTTCCGTAAGAACCTCTACCTCGCCGCGAACAATGAAGTAGAGCTCACGGCCCTGGGAATTTTGTTGTATGATGTCGGTAAATGGAGGGAAAGATCGCGGTTGGGCATTGAGACCAAGGTAGTGGAGGATATCGGCAGGCAAGCCAGAAAAAAGCGGCAGCTCTTTCAGTAAGAGACGTACGTTGACCAATCCATTTGCTAATGCACTGGAGCCATCCCGCCGACCGGGACTCGGTGACTTCCTCTTCTTGTACACAGACTTGGCACTCACGTCCCCATCATCCTCTGCAACAGCTAGACCCTTCGAAATGCTTTCACGCAGTCTTTTTGAGCCTCTTCGTGCCGGGCTCGGCATATCCAGTGCAGGCGCTGACGTTTCCTTTTTTTTCTTTTCTAAAATCATCAATCGTTCCTCCGCCTCCTCCCGGATCGCCTGTTCTACCTCCGGATACCGAGGCAATATATTCCGAAAGTCGTCTTTTGTCAGCACGACCAGCATGCATCGAGTCCGGGCGATAATGGTCGCAGTACGAGGACGGTCCATGAGCAATCCAATCTCCCCGAAGAACGCACCGGGTTTGAGCTCGGCGTATATGCTCTCGCCATCGCGAGATGTGACCGAGACGGCACCCCGCACCAGCCAGTATATTGCCTTTGACTCATCGCCTTCCGTCAAGATATAATCGTTGGGTGCGTGGAGCTGTGGACGCAGGTGCTGTCCAACCTCGATCAGGAAGGATTCCGGGGTAGCTTGAAACAGCGGGAAAGACCGCAACCGATCTACTAGTTCCAAGGGCAAAGCTTGGATGTGAGAGGAAGCCAAGGGCGAGGGGCGCGCGGGTCGGTTTGGGTTCATGACCGAATCGAATGAACGTATGAGGGATACAGTGTCGGACAAGGGCGAGACGGCCTTGGTTGGACCGCCACTGGACCTGCCATGGCGACGCATTGTGATGCAGTTCACTAGTATGAATGAAGATGTGGGATGGATGATTCAATTATTTCTCCCAGGCATTAAAGAGGTCAATAAATCGATGACGTCGACGAAAGCAGCGTCGAACCTCGCATCGGCATCTTCGCCCAATTGCTATCGCGGAGTTTAACGGACAGACATGGACGTAAGGTATAGAGGAGAAGCGAAGATTGGGAAAAAAAGGTCAGACACGACAAGTTCGAGCTAAGGTGTTGAGGTGGGGGGTTTTCCGAATCAGCGACGTCAAATGCGGTTTCTCCACCGATCACCTGGGTGCCTTCGGAAACTCTATGGGAACCTCCACTTTGGGATTTGACGTATTCTAGTCTTGTAAGCCAATATAGATCACTATAGATCAATATAGATACATATTGGTCTTGAAGACGTTTCTTTCTTTCCTTTTGAAAAAAAGTGGGGGACAGCACTGAGCGGTCAATCACCATCCTTTGAACCTGCAGCATCCGGGCCGATCTTCTCTATTTGCTTATCCCCGGGGACAAAGAAACATCCGTGGACGCCAATTGGGAAGATATACGAAGTACGTAGATTTCGCTGTCAGGGCCCCGAATCAGCTAGTTTACTTTGTTTCTCTACGTCGTTGGGTCGGGGTAGGCATCAGACTTGCTTTTTTGTAATTATATTATTTCAGGGCCATATAGCCACGTAGTAATCCTACGTCAATC